GGGAAGTGGCTTGGAAGTTGGGTGGGACAGGGTCTCAGGGAATCACCAGGGCAGGTAAACAGTTTTAGCCAGGTTGATGGAGACTCAAATATGGAGCCTGCCTGTGTCTGCACACTGGAAGGGCCTAGGGCTCAACACAGATACAATGGATTCTGCCAGTAATTTTGACTGGGAGAAAGCTGCTCCTCCAGCTCTTGCTCTGAAACCAGACACTTCAGTTCCTCCCCATAATGTTTCTGGCACCTTTTGAACTGCTGCCCCAGTGCTGGAGCTTAGAGCAAGTGAGTCCATCAGAGAGTAAGTCTGTGTGCAGGCCCTTTAAGGGGAACACCTGGGACTCCAGCCACCCTTGTTTTACTCAGCCACAACATCTGCTGGTTTTCACAGCTAGAAGTTATGGGGACTTCGCTCTCTGGCTCTGGAAACCTGGGCTGGGGAGCCTGGTATGGGCCTGCAACCCCTCACTCCTCCAGGGGGTAGGGGACTTCAGCAACCAAGATATCACTCTCAATTTTTAACTGCCACACATGGGTATGGGACTAGCCTGCTCCATGTCTTTGCCCCTTTTACCAGTCTTGATGTGGCTTTTTTGTATGTTCTTAGTTATAGGACTTCTGTTCAGCTAGACTTCAGGTGATTCTCCATGATGATTGTTCTGTAGTTTAGTTGTAATTTTGATGTGGTCATGAGAGGAGACAAACACAGTGTTTACTTACCCTGCCATCTTCACTGGAAATTCATATTTTACTTATTCCTAACCCTACATAAAGCTTGCTGTTTTTAATGTATGTATGCATGTATGTATATTTTATGTAATAAGCACATATACAGATACATTTATTAAACACTTTGCCATTTAAAATATCTTTGATTACAAGTAATAGAAAACCCACTCAAGTTGCTTTAACTATTAAGAAATTTCTTATCCCATTACTTGGAGTCAAATGTAGTACTCCACAAATGATATGATCAGCAACTAAATGAAATGATCAGTGGGCTCAGAGTATTCCCATTCTCTCTTTTGCTATCTAATTATGCTGGTTTTTCCCTCAGTCTGATTACAGAGATTCCAAGCATCGTACACAGACAAAGCATTATCCTAAATAAGAAAAGGAAACATCATTTCCTATTTCTCTTTCTTGAGTGTAAAGAATTTTTTTCAGAAGTCCCCTAGCAGACATATTGTCATGTTTAATTGTCCAGGATTAGATCATATGCCAAATGCTAAATCAATCACTTACAGGGGGAATGGTATTATCATGATTAGCTTAGAGTAGTAACCTTTCAGAGTGGGGTGAATATTGGAAACTCAGTGACTATAACCACCTACAGGCAAAAAATGTGTCACTAGGACAACAGTCTCTCTCTTTTGCTTAGCTTGGCTCTGATCTCTTCTCTGTGCTGCTTTCATCCTGAGTCTCCAGATGATAGTAAGGTGAATAGAGCAGCTTGATTCTCAAATCTTCTCCGGTTCACTCATGTCCAATGAAAAAGGTCATCTACTTCATACCCAGGAGTTTGTGCAAAATATCATTGTGCCTCATTGACTCTAACTACGTGGGGTGCCTAGTCCTAAAATAATCAATCTAAGAGTATTTCCGTACTTTGAAAGGTCAGACTTAGGTTGTTCACAAAAGGAAACAGGGACACTATTCCCAGAAGTGTGACTGGATGCTAGGTTGCAATGCCAAATGATGTTACAATTTAACACACTTTGCCACTCAGCTTCTATATGAGTCCTTCTTGCCATATATTCACATTCAAAAGTGTCTTCCACAAAATTGTTCTTTCATCAATTCCTAATGGAATGTGGACTATTACCATTTATTTGGAAAATGATATTGTAAAAATAATTGCTATTGTAACTTTCAAGTCAATAGATTAGTTTGACTATTTTTGAAATCTAAATAAATTGGAAAGAAAAATTGTGTCATCTTCTTTTTTTCAACATATTTGTGAGGTTCACTCATGTTGTAGCATATAGTTGTAATTTACTCATTCATAGTCTTGTATGATATTCCATTGTATGAATATACCATGACATATCCAGTCTACCGTTGATGAAAATTTGGGTGGCGTCTAGTTCAGAGCTATTACAAATACAGAGGGTGCCAAAAAAAATTTATACATATTTTAAGAAAGGAAAAAAAACTGTATTAAGGTTTTAATACTCAATATAAACCAATAATAAAAGATGAATACAAGTCATGTGTATACATTTGTTTTGGCAACCCTGGTAGTTGAACACATATATTTTTAAATAAAATATAGAATTTAGAATTTTAGGGATATGAGATTAAGTAATTCAAAACAAGTTTCTCATTAAAGAAATAATAACAGCTGGATGAAATATTTAAACATAAATCTGCTCAAAGGCACCTGAAAACCAAGAAGATAGGAAATAATTACCATAAAGATGTGAGGGAGAACAGATACAAGAGGTAAACAGTGAATTTGTTGGATGTCTTTTCCCTTGGGGAAATTTACCTTCTGGAGGGAACTGCTGTAAGGCTTAGATGCTCAGAAGAGCTTATGACTTTCCATTCAAGGTAAGGATACAGAAGTAATCTGGAGCCCTGGTAAACCACTTTAACTTGTGTTTGGGACATCAAGTGTAATATCTCAGAAATAAGGGTTAACCAGAACTAAATAAACCCTCACATGAACTAAAGTATATCTGCAAATTGCTTGCCATAGAAAATTGTATGAACTTTCATTTGCATCAGCACTAAATATAAAACTCTTTTACTCATGCTCAATGGCATTAATACTTTAATATTCTTTCATACTTCATTGAATCAAATTTTTAATTGATTTTGGATATCAGCCACTTATCGGAGGTGTTGCAAAAATCTTTTCTCATTCGGTTGGTTGTCTCTTCATTTTGTTGATGGTTACTTTTGCTGTGCAGGAGCTTTTTAGTAAGATATAGTCCCATTCATTTATTTTCGCTTTTACTTCCCTTGCCTTTGAGGTCAGATTCATAAAATCCTCTCTGAATCCAAGGTCCATAACTTTAGTACCTATGTTTTCTTTTATGAAGTTTACTGTTTCAGGTCTTATGTTTAGGTTTTTGATCCAGTTTGAGTTGATTTTGGTACATGGTGATAGATAGCAGCCTAGTTTCATTTTTTTGCACATGGCTTTCCAATTCTCCCAGCGGCATTTATTGAAGAGGCTATATTTTCTTCATTGTGATGTTCATTGCAGCTTTATTTACAGTGGTCAAGACATGGAAACAACCAAAGTGTCCTTCGATGGATGATTGGATAAAGAAGATGTGGTACATATATACGATGGAATACTATTCTGCCATAAGAAAAGATGAAATAGTGCCATTTGCAACAACATAGATGGACCTTGAGATTATAATGCTAAGCAAAATAAGTCAGACAGAAAAAGCAGAGAACCATATGATTTTACTGATATGTGGTATATAAAACTGAAAACAACAACAAAAAAAACCCCAAGAAAAACAAATGAAGAAACAAAACTCACAGACACAGACAATAGTTTAGAAGCTACCAGAGATGTAACGGGGGATTAGGGTAGTAGATGAGGGTAAAGGGGATCAAATATATGGTGATGGAAAGAGAAATGACTCTGGGTGGTGAACACACAATGTGATATACAGATGATGTATTACAGAATTATACACATGAAATCTATGTAGCTTTGCTAACAATTGTCACCCAAATAAATTTTAATAAAAAAATTTTAACTGATTTTTCTTTTTCTTTTTAGGAATTATTTTATTATTTTAAGGTTAGTTGTTCTGTTAACATCTGACCTATCACCTGATTCAGGTACCATAAGTAACTATTAAACATTTATATTTTTTACTGGGTTTTGGGTTTGTTCATTTGCTTCTGTTTTATTTTGCTGAATTTTACATTTTAATAAACCAAGTATTGATTTGGGAATAAATACAGTCTAAAAATTTCCCGCAAATATTTAAGGGATCATTCTAGTATTCTTTAAAGAATACCCAATCTTTCTCCACTGAATTAAAAAACTGTCATTTTACCTAATTGTTTCTTATAAAGTTATTTTTTTCCTAAGCTTTCTTTTCTGATAAATAGATCATATTAACAGTTATTGTGAATACATTTTCCCAAATATTCAGTAATGGGAGAAAAGTTAAGTTGTGGTTACTAGAAAATTGAGTTTTATAGAACAAAATCCAGGTATGTAATAGGTCCTCAAAAAGTATTTATCAAATGACAAAGATAAAATGTTTTTAAAAAGATCTTATATCCTGACAAAATGCTTATTCTATATGAGAAAGAGCAGGTCATGAAATTGCATATGCAAAATGATCCAAGATTTGTAAAAGTCTAGAAAAAATAGCAAAAGAAATATCATTATTAATATTTCGCTGTGAGCCCAGGGGAATGGGAGCTGAAATTGCAGTGGATTATTTTCTTCACATAAATTTTCTGAAATTTACACAGTATTAATATTGTGCAAATAGTTCATTTGCAATAGAGTGGGGAAAAAAGAAAGGCATCAAATTCCTTAAGAAGTAAAATCCAAGAATGACCACTCTGGAAAAATTACATAGAGATTTGGTCAAGATGGCAGACAGAATTTGCACATTTCTCTCTCCCTATCCAAGTCCTTGCAAATGACAGGAAAGACAGATTTATGTGTAAAGAATGACTACACAAGGGCACTAAAAAAGGAAAAGACAAATTCCTGGAAGATGGAAAGCAGATGGGGCAGGGGCACTGAGAGGGTGAAGGCAGAGGTGAGCACAGGAGTCAAAGGGTCCTGAATTGGGGAGAAAAGAGGTGCAGAGTTGGGGCACAGCTGCTCCTGATTTTGCAAAGAGGAAGGGCAGGAACAAGGAGCACCTCTCATGCCAAAAGCAGTGGTGGGTTTGAGAGTTGAGGGGGGGCACGACGTGTTTGGCAGGAAGGGGAGGCCTCTCTCCTGGCAGGAAGCTGCGCTACGGAAAGAGGGAGGAGACTGCTGCTGCAGGAGCGGCTGGTGGGAGCCCGATGTGGCAGAGGGGCTTCTGCCGCCGCTGACAGGGAGGCGGAGGGCCAGCGAGCCCGGTGCTGGAGACACAGCCGCCATCCTCTTCGGCAGCCCGGCTGCCCTCCTAGACACGTTCCTCGCCTGCAGATCCTCCCCTCCTCCCCGCTCTTGCAAGCACCCGGCTCAGCGCCTGCCGACCCTCCTTCCCACAGGCTCCCAGCGAAGGCAGGAGCGAGGTGTCCGATTTGGGCACGTGAGGCCCGTGGTCCCGGGCGGTGGACACCAGGCAGGCCAAGGCCATTGGTGGGCACCGGGATGGAGAAGGGAGACGGGATGGAATCCTGCAGGATTAAGGGGGTGGAGGCGTGCTCCCAGTGAGGCTGGGGTGGGAAAGTGCACTGGGCTATAGGAAAAGGGGGTGGCGTTAGGACGCTGGCAAGAAACTGAAGCGAGGGCACTGGGTGCCAGGAAAGCAAAGCGACTGGGGCTTGGCAGGGGGCGTGTGGGCAGCAGGCTGAGGCTTTCAGGGCCAAAGGACAGCGCGTGCATGCGGGTCAATGGCTGGGAGGGATCGGCGCTTTGCAAGGGATTTACGGGTAGAGTGGGTGCCAGTGGGTGGCCGGCGGAGGCAGTGGTCTCTGAACAAGGAGGTAGCCCGCCCCCTTCTGCAGAGTTCTAACCCCAGGCAGCACCACTGCCGCTGCTGCCCTTCCCCGCAGCCTAAAAGAAACTAGGAGGGAGAGCACTTGCAGGCAAGCAGCCAGGACTTCCAGCGTTGCTGCCGGGCGCATGGGGAGCATTCAGGTGCCAGCGCAGGGTACTTAGAGACCCTGCTGTCCGGAGAGCTCCACCTGATGGCACACTGAGCGTCTTCTTGTCTTCCCTCCTCCCGCCGCAGGCTCAATGAAGACCCCCAGCGCACAGGAGGTGGAAGGGCAACAAGCCAGGGCACCTGCACCTGCGGGACGGGCCACCGGGACTGCAAACATGACGAAGAAAAAAACTTGCCAAAAGAAACAGAGGGGCAGACCTTCGTCCCAGCCCCGCAGGAACATCGTGGGCTGCAGAATTTCACATGGGTGGAAGGAAGGTGATGAACCCATCACCCAGTGGAAAGGAACCGTTCTGGACCAGGTGCCTATAAATCCGTCCCTTTACCTGGTGAAATACGATGGAATTGACTGTGTCTATGGACTGGAACTTCACAGAGATGAAAGAGTTTTGTCCCTTAAGATCCTTTCTGACAGGGTGGCATCACCTCAAGTCAGCGATGCAAACCTTGCAAATACCATAATTGGTAAAGCTGTGGAACATATGTTTGAGGGAGAGCATGGTTCCAAGGATGAGTGGAGGGGGATGGTCTTAGCCCAAGCACCAATCATGAAAGCCTGGTTTTACATC